ACAAAAAGACGTAACGTAGTTCTACTAAGTAAAATTCGTCTTCGTGTGATCGTAGCGGATCACATTTTCTAGCAGAGACGTCCACTTCATTAGTTCGAGCTGAACCAATAACTGTAGCTAAGCAATTCCCCAAGAAAGGTATCTATCCGATGTTCTAACCTCAAAATCATCAAGTACTTAGGCATATGTAACATGAACACAGCTTGCTCGTAAATTTAACTTTGTTTACAAGGTGACATGCCTCATGTGTAAGCTTTAAGTTAAACGAAGCGCACGCGACATTGCACCTGAGTAGTCACATATATACTGAAAATTAGTTATCTTGATGTGTAGCCGGAGCGTACAGTGCCGTCAAGATAAGACCGAACCATGATGTAATAGATAGGCAGTGTGACCAGATGATCCAGTGAGCTACTCTAGTGAAGATTTTTTAGTGCTCCGAGGGCCACTCGTGCCAAACGCGGTAATGGATAAGGAACAGATAAACTCGGTATGGGAAGCCACCTTAGTAGAAGTTGGAGAGCTTGAACAGTACCTAGTGAAAAATCAACCGCAAGTAAGCATCTTACTGATCGTGAGCACAGCTTGAACGGAGAAAAGTATAAGCGCTGTGGAGTGTCTCTGACAGTAGAACAGCCCTCTGGTTCAGTAAAGCCTATCAGAAAGGTGGTAAAACCCAGCTACTTACGATGCAAATCAGCCAGAAAGCACCTGCAGGTGACATTTGTCGAAGGTGCAGCAACTAAGGCAGTAGAAAAACAAGCATTCAAAGTCCACTAAGGTTGCGACTAAAAATAATTATTCGCGGGATTCCGAAGTTACATACCGGGATGCAAGAGAGGAGTAGCACCTCTGATAAAGGACCTGCCTTACCCTCCGGGGTAGTCCGCCTATCCTTGGTCTCCACCTGTCACCCAGCTCTCACCTGTGGCTCCAAGAAGCTGCTTGCACGCAGCAGCGGCCACACCCTGGTCAACCGTCAGGCAGACAGGCTAAACCAGATGATGGTAGCCGGCAATACTATTCCCGGTGACTTGGTACTCGCGTGCGATGTCAGTCCTGACAACCGGGCGGGAGAGATCGACGCTTGATCCAACGGCCAGAAGTTAAAACAATTACCCAGATCCCTGCTGCCTTGCACGTAAGAGTTAATTGTGAACCCTAGAACAAAAGCCGGATGAGGTTGGGGTTCTCACTCATACGTACCCATAATCCCCACGAAACTTCACGACATGTCCGTTACCCGCGATTCTTCTCATGCTACGGTATTTCCGGTAGGCGACGCGCTCTGCGCTAACCCAGTGGCCAGAGTGACAAGTAAGTTAGCTGGGTCCCTCAATCCCCGGAAGCCACTATTCATTGGATGCTGGAATGTCAGAACTCTGTTGGATGTCGGCAGCCAAGCGTTGGCGATGCGCACACTACATGATATAGCATGCCTATCAGGATCTCGAATATCCGGCTATGGCTCCCGATAAATCAGTCCCTGGTGTAGACACTTCATATTGGCTTTACCACAGTGGGAAGATAATTAAGGCAATCAAGGGGTCGCCATGGCTCTCAGTTGCCAGGCACACTACGCACTCCTTTCATGGAAGCCAGTACCCGCTAGAATAGCAGATGCACGTTTCAAAGGTCACCAACTGAATCTGACCATAATCTCTGTCTACGCACCAACCCTACCCTCAGCGGAAAGTGACAAAGACGAATTTTACGATACTCGACAGATAGTGGTGAACCATGTTCCAAAACGCAACATCCTCATTATTGCTGGGGACTGGAATGTACGAACCGGTCCTAGGAACGATCAAACCCGTCACATACTCGGGAGATACGCGCTTGGAGAGCGCTGTGATTATGGAGACTGCTTGCTCAGCTTCGCTGATCTTAACCGGTTGTGCGTAACCAATACTCGCTTCCAGCATCCCAGGAGCCATCTTCTGACGAAGTACTCCAACGATGGTCGTACAGTAAGCCAGATAGATCTTAGGTCTTAATCCGATCCAGGTGGATATCCTCCATCGGACTGTCGAGAGTACAGAGGGGCTGAAACGGGCAATAAAGGTGGTTTGGACCACGTACACCCGCGAGGAAAAAACTCAGACTCCGCTTGACAAGGCGCCGAAAGATGCTTCCACTAAAGCGTAAAACACTGCCCCACTGGGAAATACTGACCGCTGCCGATCCCTTGAGGCAGCAACAGAAGTAGAAATTGCTGCCAGTGCACCACACCTCGTAATTGCAGAAGATGAATCTGTAGACGCTCGTTGGTCTAGGCTAAAATCGTCAGTTCAACGCAACGCCTTATCTACCCTGGAGTCGACCTCTAGGCCTGTGAAGGACTGGATCACTGAAGATACTATCCGGTTGTCCGCTAAAGCGAGAGAATCAGGTATCACGAATTCAACAGATTACCGTCGCTTGAGACGGAAGGCAACCCGCTCAGCACGGAATGATCGCAACCGCTACTGGTCTGAGATCACAGGCAAGATGGAAGCTGCATCAAATTCTGGCAAGTTGGGTCATCTCTTTTGTCTCGTCCGTTAGCTTCCGGCAAGCGCCATTCACCACGGCCGATATTGTCCACTTCGGAAGGACAAATTATCCCCGATAAGGAGGGAAAACTTTCCAGATGGATAGAATATTTTAACAATCTCCTAAACCGCCCACTACACACCACCGCAGCTATTTCAGCATTAATCCAGCCAGAATATGACGCGGATTGCTCACCGCCGTCTCCCACAGAAAATGCAGACATCGTTCGTTACCTGAAGCCGAAGAAAGCCCTGGGAGCGGACGGGATTCCAGCGGAAATCTACAAACCTTGTCTACCAGCTCTCCTTGACTATTTGCACGAGCTCTTCTGCTCGATATGGGAGACCGAAATGTGTTCTTCCTAGTGGAGTAACTCAGTACTACTGTCATTTCCCAAAAAAGGTGACCGAAATGTGTGCAGTAATTATCGCGGGATTAGTCTAATCGAGGTGGCTGCCAAAACCTTTGCACGAATCTTGCTTTCCCGCTTTGCCAATGAGAGGAACCTGCGAAGTCTCCATAACCAAGGTGGCTTTCGTCCAGAAAGAGACTGCATTGACCAAATCTTCATTCTACGTCGAGTACTCGAATACCGCTATCAGTTTCAGTAGCCCACGCTTGTGTGCTTCGTTGATTTTCGAGCTGCCTTTGGCTCAGTTGACCGCGAAACACTCTGGAGAATCCTACTTGCCGATGGCGTGCCGGTTAAACTCGTTAACTTGATAAGATCATATTATTGTTGCAAGAAGGCCCGGATTCCGGTCTATGGAGAAGAAACAGAGGAATTCGACATCAATACTGGAGTCCGGCAGGGTTGCCCACTTTCTCCAGTGCTGTTCAACTTCGCCGTCAACTGGGTTATGCATCATGCCCTTGGGGCTATCGTGATGTTCAAGTTAGCCCAGACTTCTGGCTGTCCGATCTAGAATTTGCTGACGATATCGCTATCCTTGCGAAAGATGCTATAACACTACAGTCATTGCTAAATCGGGTCGACCAACCAGCCTCTATGATTGACCTCGAAATTAACATCAGCAAGACGAAGTACTTATCATCGTTAGCCACCCAGTCCGCCCCGTCGCTCTCCTTACATGGACAACTCATCGAATCTGTTCCTGAGTTCAAGTATCTTAGATCCACTATACTCCCCAATGGTCAGGCTACATCCGAAATCCGGAATCGTATTGACAGCGCTAGAACAGCCTTCTTACAACTGAAAAACACATTGAGGCGAGGGACGGAAATTAGTCTGAGAACAAAGATCGGAGTATTCTCAGCAACCATTAGTGCCATTTTACTTTATGGTTGCGAAACATGGCCGCTGCGATCCGAAGACATCAGGAAGCTGGAAGTTTTTGACCATTGGTGTCTAAGGCTTATCTTGAAAACGCAGTGGTATGAGCGTATCACCAATGACGAAATCCGTAAGCGCTGTTACGGTCTTCCGAGGCTCACAACGCTCCTCCAACACCGCAGACTTCAGTGGTTCGATCACGTCCTCCGCAGACCAGACACTGACTTCACTAGGGCTGTGGTTTCACCCTCGCATTGCCAGGGTTGGTGTCGTCGCCGTGGTGGACAATTAAAAACGTGGCTCAATACAATGAACTCGGATGTCGATCTTCTCGGACTCCATGTTGTGCATGGTGCTCACCACTGGAGGAACCATTGGATCAATATCTGCGTGGTGCTTGCTGCCGACCGCCGCGCTTGGGCAGCTGCAATTCATGACATTCATGAAGCCGGCTCATCCTGTCGCAGGAGCTAGCCGAGAAAGTAAGTATTAAGTAAGCAGCTACCGTAGATCCGCCCGTTTCTCAAAATTTTGTGAGAAAGAATGTGAACCAAAGGCAACAGTCTGCAAAAGCTGAACAAAACTCTTTTGAAATGATCAGACAAGGCATCGCCTGTTCACAAAACCAAGTCACCAATTTACATTATCCATCTATTCGTGTTTCCTCTTACGAATAAAATTGCTTATCCACGGAATACCGAGTGAAAATGATATCATTTACTCTACATAGAAGGTACACACCTGGGACAGACAGCCTCTTCTATCTGGGAACATACATTTCTGTTGGTGATAACAATACCATCATCAATACAGCCACATTTCATCAATGTGGTACAGCTGTGCCGAAACTGCGTGTTCTCTCTTTAAAGTATGAGGCTTACAACATAGCAGTTGGTGAGATACATGGACGATTCGTCCGGATGATCTGCGCTAGTTGTCGCTCACTGAAGATGGGGGAACGAAGAGTCATAGCAGGTTGATTTGCCGCAATTCGGTGTAAGGATCATGGTTGACAAGCTGAACTAGTACTAGTAGAACGTTAAAATAACCAAAGAGAAAATCATTATAAGTTCGTTAAATTTATGGCACAAGTGAATTGGTAGAAACCGAGGTAGTGTGAGAGTAAAATTAAGCGTGAGTAATTATGCCGAAAAGAAAGCGATAAACTTACTTGGGACACATTGCTGATCTTCCAGCTCGCACGCGAGCATTTTCAGAAACCGGGCGAATCAACAATTGTTGTCCACTCAAATGTCGTAGTATCCAGGACTTGCTACAACATAGTCTGCATGGGATCCTCGGTCTTGAAGTGAGGGCACGTAGCCCAGCTTTTCGCAACTCTGATGCGCTAAGCGCCGCTAATTCAGATAAGTCAACCTGCCTAGGTTGACCAGGAAGAGAAGACGCTATGATAAAGTAATTGAAAACACGGAATCATCTTACGCGGAGCACCCAGAAAATGCAATGCAGCAGCCGCATAGTCCACGCTATAAAGTCTAAAACATGCAAAACAAAACGATTTAAGGATCTACGAAATATCACACACAGGGAAGTACCTTGAGAAGTAAATCAAAGAAGAGTGGGTTGAAGACCGGTTTTGACAGTTCAATGTGACCAAAGTGTCCGGGACAAAGAAAAAAATCAAGTCCACAATGTCCACATAGGTCCTTTTCGCTGCTAAGGCCTGAGAGATAAGATGCACAAAAAGAAAACGTTACCCAGTGAAATGTCATGTAAGCCTCCGTCAACTCCACGACCAGTGAACTTATCAAAAGCAAGGTCGTTAGTGACCCGACAAACCGAGATCGCTCTAATCTCTTCAGTTGTGTAGAAGCGATACTGTAAGGCCTCTAGCTTTCCATCGATGCCAAGCAACATTCCGAAGTGTAGTATGCGTCCGATCGAGGATTCCGATGGCTTCCGTGTCCAACGAGTACGTGGGTCTTATTAGACCGACGGGCTGAAATATAATACAAATAGTTCGTAGGCACTTGGATAGGTTCACCACAATCACCTAATAAGTGACGGAGCTGGAAGAAGGATACGCCTGACCAACAACTCGTGATGAGTTGGTGGACATTGTCACAACTGTTCAAGAAGGACCGAACCTGTGGTGACTGAATGGGGTAAACACAAGTTTAAGTTCAAATGTGACTAGAACAATAATAGAATCCCATGAATGCTTCTTCTTGAGCAGACCGTTGAACGAAGAAATATCAAGGTGCCCTGAGGTAATAATGGATCTAAAACGAAACACCCAAACCAATCACTGGTCAATCAAGCACTATCCACGTTTCTTGTACTAGCAGTCCATGCTATGCCCGTCACATGAAATAAGCAAGCCATGAAGAAAATGGAAGGTAAAGAAGAAAAAATGTCATTTGATTGAAGGATATACCAATGAGCGAAGGAAAGCAGAGAGCAAAATCAAAGTATGAAGATGGATATTGTTGTGTATTCCGCTCACACACTCAAACATGTGCTACGTTCATGTATCACTGACACACACACGTACACGACGGGCCACCGTGTTTCATCCCTATAGGTATCGCCATTAGGAAGATGTGAGGACAAAGTATATGGTTACTTGGCACATCTTGGTTCTTTACTTGCGTACACAAACAAGTGTCGTGGCCTACAAACCTGCGCCATGGCCGGTGACCGAGTGGTCTGCGCGCCTGGTTTGCAACCATAAGGCTCCCGGTTCGAATCCGCGTAGGGGTTGGCGTCTTCACGGTATACTCAGCCCACGCGGGACTAGTGGTGGTCGCGCGGCAGCGAAGCGCCATTACGACGTACAGCTGACACATGATTTCATTGTTATATTTGCGCCATGGAATTACGGTTACAGCATCCTATAGCTTGCTGGTGTGACGCAACGGCGCGTCCTACTGAAAGTGAGTGGACCCAATAGAAAATAACGCTTGCAAACTACTTGGGCTTACTTCCTGTGGCTTCTAACTACACGGAATGCCGAAAATAAAAACTTTTCAGGCACCTGCTCAGTCACGAGGGGCAGTGCTAATTGACGCTTTGGAGCTCCAATCTTAAGATACCTTGACGAAAGCACCGGATATGTTAGATAAGTCATGAGGCAAGTGTACAAATGTTTTCACAGCCCGAGTTAAATTTAACCGACTTACCCAAGTACCATCGGAATCGCCGGAAGGTTTCGTCAATCGCCTCATTCGCGGCGTAAGTATTCCTAGATAGCCAACACCTAGATCAAGGGTGTTTTGTTAGCGCAACAGCTGAATTATGGAATAGCAAACAGGCGGGTTCGGGAATTTCTACTCTCCGTAGAAGCCGCGAAATTGACTTAGAACAAGGCAGTGAGAACCGTTAGCCTCAAAACGGATGCTGCAGTACAGTTGCGATGTTTAGCTGCAAAAACAGGCATACAGGAGGTAGCCAAGACTCACCGTTCGCCAATAAAACCCCACATAAGTGCTTCCGCTGCGGCAGCCTACAGCATCAGACCACTTTTTCCAAGTGCCGTGCCATAGAATGGGATGGTAAAAGCTGTGGAAAACTAAAGCATTCAGCCCGTTCTCGCCATTCAGGACACATTACTCAACTACTTTCCGCCGATTCTTAAGCGGACATGCTCGTACAGGAGACTGGAAAGGTATTTTCCATCGATGATAACAAATCCACTTCTTTATTGGCTCTTGGAGTACCCGCCGTGTGTCTGGATTGCGACACGCAACCATGAGGCTACAGTTTGCTTTGAAGCAAACCTATGCCATTTCGATCACTGGGACCGCATCCGGAGTAGAGTTTCGGAGCTGCTTTCTCCTAATACTGCACCCAACGACCGAATTCGTCCTAATTTGGACTCTTCAAATAGAGATAGCTTGAGCTGAGAGGGGAGTGCTGTTGTGGAGCTCTGGCCTAGTGACCAAGACGAAAGCCGTCAACCACTGTGTTGGACTCCCTTCTCAGCTCAAGCTATCTCTAGCTGACAAGTGCAAATAATGGTGAAACCGGTCAATTGTGGAGTGCAGTGTGGGGAGAAAGCAGCTCCGAAACATTCCACTCCGGATGGGATCCCGGTGATCGAAATGGCATAGGTTTGCTTCAAGGCAAACTGTAGCCTCAATTGAGATTGCGTGTCGCAATCCAGACACACGGCGAGTACTCCAAGAGCCAATAATGAACATCTAACCGCTGTGTCAAGCGCTGCTGTGGAGCCCTGATCTAGTGACAAGACGAAAGCCGTCAACTAGTGTTGTCTCCCGTCTCAGCGTAGGTTATCTCTATCTGAAGAATTCAAATCAGGACGAAATCGGTCGGTCGTGGAGTGTAGTGTTGAGAAAGAGCAGCTCCGAAAACCAATTCTTATTATCGTCCTCCTTGTGCAGAGCTTAAACGCCGTATGTCTGACATTTATACTGTAGCCGTTTGTGTACACGGCGGAACAGCACATGTTGATATGAAACTTGACGCCGCGCCTCCTATTACGATAGTACCAAGTAGCTTTATGACGGTCATACACATTATATACCCATAGATCCCTCAGCCTACCGGCTTGACAGTTATAATAAAATCCCCTGTAGAGATACGAGGGTTTGCTGTGGTCATCCTACAAGTTGAGAACATCAAAGCACGTGTTGCCGTTTAAGTCACCCGTGGAAATAAGCGCCTATAACTTGGACGAAATGCTACGGTTGTACTGGGTGTTACGCCGACCGTATGTCGTATGCGTATCATGGCGGTCAACCTGTTCACCCTACAAAAGCAGTACCCGAAGCTGTTGGAAAAAAACAAGGCGAGATCCTCCGTTCATTCACCGTAAGATTCTGGAGCAGGATGCTATGTTGATAGCTACACTGTTTACACAGATAGGCGGTCAGCCGTCCCATTTCGGCGTGTTTGTGGTCACTCGCAGAGGGAAAAAGTGAGTATGAAAATAAATGGTATAATATGTCCAGATGTTTGTGATAATATATGTTGTTAATAATAATATTAGTAAGAATAGTAATATTAAGAATATTATACTTCATATCAGCCATGGTAAACACCGCTTTTCATTGCCCATGAGTATTTACTCTTTAATGAAATTGTAGTTTAAGTGAGCACGGATGACCGCCTTGACGCCCGGAGTGACTATTTTTATGGTCCTGGCGGCCCCAGTTGGACGCCTTTGCGACGAATTTCAGCCACTAAAAAAATCTCCGGTTTGGCATTACGCAATTAAAATTTCGGGAATCGTTACTTGCTTAGTGTTGATAGTAGTTATAAGCAGAAAAATACATTTATGGCAAATGTCAAGGGTATATAAGGAAAAATTTGTTGAGTGACCAAAATTCGTCCCAAATGTGTCCAACTGGGACGGTCAGGGGCCCAAATGATGGTCTCTCAGTGCGCTCAAGCGGACATTTCACACTCGTACTCTGCGAGTATTTTGCAGCCACGTCCATTCCTTTTGCCAGGAAAGAGGCTGTTTCGTCTTCCCCACGGCAAATGAGTGCGAATGATATCATGGAATCGATCGACTGTTCTGAATGGTTACAGTCCTCAAGAAAGATGGCACAGTGAGAAAATGTAACGACCTGCAGACCCATTCCATTCCATGTTCGAGTGATTTTATGCGATTTGACCAGTTCCTGCTGTATCGCGATTTACTTTTTTTTCTGAATTCGTGTGTGATTCGCGCCTGGTGCTTGAATCGGCTCAGCCACTTCCATATCTACCACATAATGTACAGTGTCATATCCGCATTAAAACCAAGCGATACTCTTATGAATGGAGCAGGAGGTCAAAGAAATTTAATAATTTAGTCGGCGTATCCTGTACCCGAAACCTGTTGTACTATCCACTACCACTCGAAAACCGCTGAGCGACATGTTGAGGTGTCCATAGTGGGTTGAGGTGGTAGCGATGATATTTTTATCCTACTTCGTTTGACTGACGAGTTGAGCCGTGACAGCTCTTTTTCCTTTTATGGATTCCAGGAAGGTGCGATCGTTGCCCTATACCTGCCCGTAGCCTTAAAGACCACAAGCCTGCCGTGTAATCTGAGGGCACGCGTTCGAGTCTGCGTAGGGGACCGGACCATCCTCGCAATTCCTTAGCCCATGTGCGACCGGTTGAGATTGCGGAGCGTCAATACTGCGTGCCGGCGTACTGCTGATGCTTTTACCGACGACGGAGAGTAGGGTCACCCGGGCTAGAATGGGTATACATTGTGCATCTTTTTCATGCAATAGCTCTGAGCGTAATGTTAATATATTCTTAGTTTTACGTCATCAATTTTACCTTAAGCTTATAACTATCTATAATCAGGTCAATGAATTTATTTGCGTCGTTTAAATATTGAGTTAAGCCCTATACCCATTTC